TTTGTGCTATATATAAGAGCATTTTTAAAAAGGTTCTATACAGAACCATATACCATATACAACACATTTTCCATCAATCTGGAGAACTATTTCATCATGCAAAGATCCGTTTAAGTATGAAATAGTTCTATACAGAACTAATGGTTCTAAAAAGAACCATTGCCTCAAATAAATAACAATAAAAATTACAGATTCATCACTATCGCTTCAGATCCATTTAAATTCCATAATTGAAAAAGTGGTCCTCATTTTCCTCCGTGGCTTAGCACTAGCACTCAAGTTGGTGGTCTTATTGGTTGGCGTTCATAAAACATTGAGCCTAATGGCAAAACTGATCAGAAACGGTTACTAAGCTCTTCCTCCCGCTCATCTCCACTGTGGAATTCTGAATGAGAGTGGCGCAGAGAAGCAAAGCCCAGGACAGCCTAACTCTCGTATGATTGCGCTGAGATTAGGGTCTAATTGAAGGGGGTAACTGAGACCTTTGCTCCTAAAGCCGCGAGGACTGTCCGTAGTTGTAGATCGTATGTGTTGAAAGACAGCGATGAGAGCACGCACGCTTCCAACGAGTTATTTTCAACAGCGACAAGTTCCACACAAAGACCACACACCGAGCCTCAGACATGTAAATGTAATCTGCAGTCTTTCACAGCGGATTCAACAAAAAAGTCCCGAAAACCTAATAGAGTCTCTGGGCGCATCAGGATTACGGTGGAAAATGGTCTCTTTTGCCCAAAGAGTAAAAGCGAAACTCTTGCGAGTGAGTATGTTTCTGGTATATTTGGTCAGCTCACGTGATTGAAGCTGAGCGAGTGGTTTCATTGAGTTGCCAGCGTTCTTAGCACTTTATAGCCGCATTTTTTCTAAACAGTGCTGTCCATTATATTATGATGTCTTACACTAAATGCGTGGGATTTTATGTTTTTTGCACATTTAAGGACCCATTGTTGGAGCGCAACCTCACCTAAAACGATATCGTACATGGAAACGAAAGGGCATGTGGACGTTTAAATAGGGAAATGACGACATAAAATGTCCACAAAACAAGTTATATATATATATATATATATATATACATGGTGACACTTTATTTTGAGTGGTCCTAGATGAAACACTCAACGGACTCTCAGTAACATCAAAAACATATGAGGGTTAAGATTAGGTTTCGCGTAATGGAAGTAACATATTAACAATACATCTTAGGTAAGTAACGGTCCATCTAAATATATATGAGGTCAGTTGTGACATACTTTATACACTTTGCAAGTGCAGAATTTCTATAGTAGCCCATAGTAACTGTATAGATAATTTAATAAAAAGCTAAAAGAAAAAGAGCTCCTTTAAGGCCATGACAATATCATTTTGGACATAAACGACTGTTGATTTAAAGCGAGTCGCTGATTTAACGACCCTTCATCTAAAAGAAGTGCGCCATTACAATCAGCGACTCATTAAAACGCCCAAGTCGTGGCGCAAAGTCGCCGCTGCTAGCTGGGCCTCCACATCCACCTCAAACATCTTCATCGGGGCCGCTTGTTGGATTTAGAAACATTGGAATGGTTTATAAATGGAGCCCGAATACGCATCTCTACACGCATCTTAGAGCTTTTAATTGTCCCTGGATTTCTTTCAGCCCGCTCCGCTTGTGTTGGACTTATCTTCGTCCTAAAACTGGGGAGCAGCCGAACTCATTTCCAGCACAGAGTTTAGAATGTCGGCCTCCTCCATATAAAAGAATTGGAGGCATTAACCTCTCTCTCTAAAACCCATTTATATGCAAGTACAATAAGCTGTCAACAAACAAGCCGCCAGGTGGAATAAACAGCTGCCAGCATTCAGACTAAATGGGTGCCAGAACAGAATGGAAAAAGGAAAAACTCCAATCCCTCACTACACATACAGCACTGCGCCTCCATCCACTACACATGCTCCCCGGGCATAAGCCTTTATCAGCTGTCCATTTCATTTTACCCAACCTGAATCTAACATGCAAAGCTGTTAGCTTTTCACGAGCGCTGACATCTACTAATGAGCTGTCAGGAAATGTAAACACATATTTTTTTAACTGGCCAATTCAAACACGCTATTACACGAACAATAAAACTACAGCGTTCTTCTAAAACCAGACCACTTTGCCTTTGTACACATGAAATAAGCTTGACATTGACGTGATTCCAACGATGGTGGTTTACGCGTCCAGTTGTGGTTTCAGTTTAGAGCTTTGTTTCAAAGTAATGATGAGGAAAAATCAGACAACTCTGCTTAAAAATGGGCACTGTATAGAAGTTTCACTCAAGTAAAAGTGGAGCTAAACTTAAGTGTTACAGTGAAAGTCATGTTGAAACATTTGAGTATAAACGTTAAATGTTTTAGTAGATACATTTAAAGTTTTTCTCTTGTTTAATTTATACTTTGTTGAAGGTTTAAATTAAAATGTAAGGAGTAAAAAGCATGTTTTTTTCCTCATGGAAAAAGTTGAGTATAAATTCAAGCATTTCATAATATTTCATAATGCGCAAGTGCAAATATTCCAAATCATAAATAAGGTTAATACTCAATACTTCAGTGTAATACTCCCCTGTCAAAATCCACTGTATTTTGGCTTTGGTGTTTAGAGAAGGGCTTTGTAACAGAGAATATTACACATTTAAATGACTAAAATTACTTTTCACATGTAATACGTGGGCAGTGGTTCAAACTTAGTCAGTAGAGTGTTTAACAATGAGGCGTTCAGTGTGGAAGACAGGGGCAGGGACTCTCACTGTCAGGTGTTCCTGTCAAAGGCATCTGTTTTAGGCGAAACTGTTGCTATGTGCGAGGTCATTAGGTGTCCCAATGCAGTTTGTAGCCTATACAGCCAATACTGAACCTCAGCAGTAAGGACGCTTTCTCGTTTGTTCTTTATTGTTTCGTATTGGTCACCAGTCGTTTGGTCACTCTATAACTTTTTACTAGCCCCTATACGAGCCTGATGACCTGACATTTTTAAAGTTTTTTAGATTCTTCTATATTTCTTAGATATTTAAAATAAATCACTTAAAAGAAGATCAGTTGGATGTGAAGTTGTTGAATTCAGGCCAGTGCTCGCTCAGTTATAGCTCACACACGCACACACTCACTCGCCCCTCTGATGTTTATACACTTTATCAATACGTAAACAAGTGGGCCATTGGATTTACCCCTGCTTCTCCCCAGCACTGTATTGATAGAGACTGGCCCGATAACTCTGTGTAGATTGTCTTGCACAGTTATTTGGGAAGGCTCTGTTGTTTGGTCAGGGATCTGATTGATAAGCTTGCTTTTAGGAGCGTTTGTTTGATGTGCGCAGCTTTAAAAGGAGCGCAGACCTCACCTTTACTGACTCACTCCCTCCCAGACAAACGCTCGCGGTAAAAAGAAAAGAAAAAGCCCAAAGGACGCCGACTTGACAAAAGCCCGGCTTTCGGTTTACCTTGTGCAAAAGACAAACAAGATTAGGCCTTTCAAATATCACTGAAGGTAACAAGTATAAAATAATGTGCGGTATTCTGCGGGTAAGTGAGCGTTTAGAATGCATATGGCCATTTCAGCCGATTTTCTCCTGCGAGGGAGGATGTGAGCTATTACTGCACACGTGCAGGTCAGAATGAGGGGAGAACCATCCTAGCAGAGAAAAAAATGCAGATCTTTTGGTCACTCCATGTTTGGCTGCAGTCCTCGCTTTCTGGCTTTTTCTCTTTTGGGCTCTCCCCAGAACAAGCATAAAAAGATGGTTCTTTAAGAGTTCTTTAGTAAAGGCACTGGCTCTATTTAGAACCATGAGTTCTTTGCATGTTGAAATTGTTGTTCAGTTTGATGGGGAATGTGTTATATATTCTAGCTTTAGCTTTAAAGAGAATGTGTTGTAAATGGTCCTAGATAGACATTTTTTAAATGATCCTATAAAGCACCGAAAAGTGTTCTTCTTTTGTTACAAGCTTGACATCGTCACAATAGAAGAACTCTTTTTTGGTGCTATATAGAACCATTTACAAAACATTCACCATAAAGCTAAAGAACCATTTCACCATGCGAAGAAACATTGAGCATGAACTCGTGGTTCTAAATAGAACCATTCCATTTACAAAAGAACCCCTGAAGAACAAGAGTTAATTTAAGAGTATTTCCATCAGAACATTCGGGGAATGTCGAAATAACCGCATGAAATTTGTCCTGCAATTTTGACATAAATCGCTTTGTAGCTAATCATTCTAAATTCTAAATTCTAATGAATATATAGTTTAAATGTGCTCAAACACTTTTTTCTTTTTCCTTTCAAAGGACAGCCTGTATATTTTCTTAAGCCTCTATCTAGTGGGTGTAATCTACCATTAATTCTCGCAACCAAAAGCGTTACTTTTTTCATAATTTATTAATATGATTGTATGACTGCATTTAAGTCAAATATCTATAAGTTACAAGGAAATGAAACGTACAAATACAAATGGAACTCAAATAACATGTTACCCTCAATATCGATAAAAATTTTATACAATATACATATCGCTAAAAACTATGTATTCAATCCAAACCTTTTACAGAAATGTACAAGCTACGGCTTACATTGCAATCTATAAGAATAATCAGTCAGACTGGGAGGTGGCGTCTTAATGGGGGCAAACGTGGCTTTTTGCTTTAATCCGTCGGGAATGTGGGCTTTTATTGTCTCCGTTTAAAAGCTATTATAAATAATTCCATCTTCTTCACGATCTTTGGACGCACATCCTCGCAATAAGAGACTGGAAAGGCTATCTTTCTCAGTCTGAAATGGCTGTGTTGCTCGCTGCCTGTGTTTTTTGTTGCCATCCCCCTCCAGTCTGGAGAAATTTTAGGGGGCCAAGCACCAGATGGAGCAACAGAGCCGCAGTTCGAATGGCTACAGTATCTGACTTTATTTTTATTTTGTTACTTTTCTTGTTGGTTTGATGGACAGACGTCGAGACTATGTAGCTTACAGTTGCTGTCTGTCTGTCTGTCCGTCCGTCCGTCTGTGCGTCTGTCTGTCGCGTTCTTATTGTTCGCGCCGTCGTCACCACGTCCTGCCGTAAAGCAGAGCGGAACAGGGCAAGGCCGTGCCGTAGTCGGTGCCGGATGAGTTCAGGTGTGAAAGGCCGGACACCTGCGTTTGTAGGGAAGGGGGGCTCGCGCCGTGCTGCCCCAAATCTGGGGACTGTCCGGCGCTGCCTACCTGCTGGCTCTGATGCTGGCCCATCGAGCCGTTGCTGGACATGATCATGACGTTGGCTCCCTGGTGGTGGTGGCTTTGCACGGCGCTGGTGGGCGTGTGGCCGCTGCCCTGGCACGGCTTGCCGTCCTTCACCAGCACTGGCACGGCCACCCTCCGCGGAGACTGCTGCTGCTGCTGCTGCTGACACGAGCTGCCCTCTTGTTGCATCTGCTGCTGGGACACCTTGTCTTTGGCCTGCCGTTTCATTTTGTAGCGGTGGTTCTGGAACCAGATCTTGACCTGGGTCGGGGTCAGGTGGATCATGCTGGCCAGGTGCTCCCTCTCGGGCGCAGACAGGTACTTCTGCTGCTTGAAGCGCCGCTCCAACTCGTAGACCTGCGCCTGCGAGAAGAGCACGCGCCTCTTTCTCCTGGGCGCGCTGCTCAGAGAGCCCATGCCTTTCCCAACATCCGCTAACGAGCCCAGACTGCTCATACTGCCCATGTTCATCCCGGATGAAGAACCCATGAAACGAGAGACTGAAAGGAGAGAGTGCTCGTTAGAGACAGGGACTAGTGCACAAGGGCTAGTAGAAGATTGATGGACAGTAGAAATGATGAGCAATAAAAAAGAAATAATACTACTATCGAAAATAATGCACAGAACAGAAACAACAACAAAACAACCACAACAACAGCAGCAACAACAACAACAACAACAACAATAATAATAACAATAACAACAACAACAATAATAATAATAATAATAATAATAATAATAATATAAGGATTACTTTATATAAAAATACAAACAATAAATACATAATAAAATAAAAAAAATAGAATTCGGTTGACAATTCATTTTCTAGCTAACCACACGGCGAATATTCCCAATTACGCCAATTATGCATGCATGATGCTCGCCCAGTCGCCACTCTCTTTCCTTATGTTCGCCTAAAGCAGGGTCAGCGCGTGAGAGCTCGTTAATGGGCTGAGTGGATTTGGTTGAGCTCCCACACCTGGCTAATTTAAATCCGTGAAAAGAGGCGCGAGCAGTGTACATTCACCAAGCACCTAATATCCAAACACTTGCCCTCTCTGACTTTCAGTGTTGGTTTAAAACCCGAGCCGTTTGCTAGGTGTTCGTTTAGATTAGCTCAAAGGCAAAAGCTACAAGCTTCCGTTTACACTGAGTAACAAAATCGTTCCTGATGTCAAAAGTAGAAAACAGGCTGCGCGCTGCAGCATCCGCCGACGACGCCATGTGTTCTCGAGGGCACTTACTTGTAGAAAAGCGCGGGTCAGGGTTTGCTCCGTACCAGCTGGTGGCTGTCGTGCTGCCCCTCATTCCGTCCTGATAAGCCGGCAGCTCGCTCATGTTGCCCAGGTTGCCGTTGCAGTAGCCTCCCATGGCCGTGTGGGACAGCTGCGAGACCCCGGCCGCTGTCATGTGGTAGGCAGCGGGCACCGTCCCGTTGTGGCCCATGTGGTGCTGCTGCATGGCCGCCTGCGTGACTTGCGGCTGTCTGTACGAGGCGAGAGGAGCCCCCAAGTTGCTGCTCTCCATACTTACTTTTTTGTAGCTCTCCTCAAGAGGACTCAAGATATCGGACACAGAAAAGGGAGTCGTATGCTTGGGGCTCATCGACATTGTTCTGTGCTGGAGAGGAAAGAAATTAGAAGCCAAAGCAAAGCCGTCCCTTCTTGTCGTTGGCCAGCTTCCTCTGGTTCCTGTTGCTTCGGGCAGCGAGCTGGACACGTAAGAGGGAGCCTGGAGTCCGCCTTAATTGGCTTGAGTGGGAGCTCGAGGCTGACTTTCGTTTGTTTTAGCTGGGTGCCAGGTTTAAGGCTACCATCAGAGGCGGGGCATCAGCAGCAGCGAGGGCAACAATACAAAGCAACGCTGTCATCTGTGCAGCAAACGCAAAGAGCCCCATTACGTGGTCGCGAGCTGCCCCTGCCATCCCCCCCAACCCCGCAAACGCGCACACATGCAACCCCCCATCGGCGCTCAAAGGTGTGCTGATTTCACGTTCAAGGTGTAAATGTCTGTGCGGCTTATAAGGGCAGAGATGGGAACAAAGGGATGGATGAAATATTGACAGTTGGAGTGATGTTTATGAGGGGCCCCTTAATGAGGAGTGCACACGCAGACTTGAATCTTCGAGAACCCACTCAGTTGGCGAAAAACACACACACACACACACACACACACACACACACACACACACACACATACACACATATACACACACACAGAGAGAGAGAAAGAGGCAAAGCTTGAGTTGAACTCCTGACTTTTAATGGCCACAAGAGGCTTGTGGTGATTGCAGGCGTGTTTACATTATGCCCCATCGTACTCAGACATGCAAAAGTGCCCTTGCGACGAGGAAGGAGCGCTGACTGATAAATAAATAAATACATATGCGCGTGTTAAGAGGCTGCGTGAATGATTAACTCCCTCTTTTTTCGGTGTGATATATTATTGGGCGTGAGCAGCGTGTTGTCCAAATTCCCCTCCACTCCGCTCAGCCGCGCAGTGTTAGAGGAAGGCGCTCGGAAGGAGGAGGAGAGGCTCTCAGGTGAAGTTAACGGCGCTCAAGTAGCCTGCAGCTCTCAGACTGCTCAGCGCAGGTACACGGAGCTCCGCTCCGCTCAGCCCGCTCAGCACACACCGCTGTCAGTGGCCTTCTGTGGCCGAGAGACTGTCAGGAGAAGCTGAACTGCAGATTTCAGCTTCACTGACTAGAACGAGATTAGAATGGATCATTTTAGAAAAACATGATAACATCAGAATGGTATTAATAATAACAAATATACGAACGAGTAAGAACGAATATAATAATAATAATAATAATAATAACATGACCACCAACAGCGCTAATAATAACAATAACATCAATAATATTGAGGAGTGACAATTACAATTTCCAGTAACTTTACATATCTGTGTATATTATTATTATTATATTATTATTATTATTATTATTTATTTTTCAGTATTATATTGCTGCTTTACTATTTACTATATTATTAATATTATTATTCTTCTATTTCTTATGTATCTAAATTTTACTAGTATATTATTGCTTTTACTATATTATATATTATATAATTTTACTGTTTACTACATTATTATTATTATTACTTTTTCCTATTATTATAGATTATATACATTATATATTTATATATAATATATATTAATATAGTATATATAATATATTATTATTACTAATTTATTATTATTATTATTATTATTATTATCTGTAACTGGTCCTCGTTTTTTTCGTCCTTATGTCAGTTTATTTATTTATTTATTTATTTTTGGTCGCAAATTTAGAGACTCTTTAAAGTACAGCCATCAAACTGCTAACCGCTTGTTTTCCGTTTAGGTGTGAACATGAATAGCTACAGAATCAGTAACTTCAGCTCAGATCAGTCAGCGATGGCGATCAGGAGCGCGAGCAAGACGCAGAGGGGTAAATTTGATATTTCACCCTCCGATACAGACGGAACAGAAGCGGTTTAAATCCGCGGGCGGAGTGAAGGACCACAGCCGAGTGTATGTGCAGTCTGCTTTATTAACAGCGCCCTAAAACCACCGCGCCGGAAAACAGAGGTAAGACTGTAGAACCGGCCTCTCACTAAAGAGCAGAGACTCCTCTCAGTCCTGCGCAGCGCCAGCTGAACTAAACAGCCTTAATATAGACTGTTACAGTTAACACGAGCACAGAATTACTACCACAACAACCACAACAACAACAACAACAACAATAATAATAATAATAATAATAATAGTAATAATAATATTTATATTATAATATTATAATAAATATTTATATACATCTGATCATATTTATTGGGCCTGTATCATAATAAACAGATGAGTGTTTATTTCTGGTCTGTAATGAAGATTTATTGTAGATTTGTTCATAAGTTTATGATCCAACCACTTTTACCACTTCGTGTCCGACAGTCTGTCCGCGACATATGAGTACATAAAATAATGAATGTCACATATAGCGGTATCTAATGTAATTAAAAAGATAGATTTGTTAACGAGTAAAACATATTTTCGCAACCTATTCATGTTAACAACACAACAAAATATAAAGATGAAATAAAAGCTTTAAGCTTCTTATTTCTTCATTAGCTTCCATTACATCTCAATTTGAAGATAAACTGAACAAACTGAAATGATGCTATATTTTTTATTCAGTGGCATATTTAAATGAATCTTCTCTGTAGAGTCTCAGTCAAAGAGCTCGAGCTGCAGCTCTTATAAAGAGCTGTAAATGATAGCAGTTTAAACTAAACGGCGGCCACAGAGGGCATGCGAAAATATAGAGAAATTAAGAAAGCTTTATTCCACCACCCCCCACCCCCCATCTCACTGCAGTTTGTCTGGAGGGTAGACAGCGTCTTCTGGTGGTCGTAACTCGAACTCGGTTTAGAAAGGACAGAAATGGGCTACAATGTATTTTGCATGTGAGCGTTCATTTGCTGTAATAACTCTAACATTTCTTTACAGTTTCACTCAGTTGGCGACTGTCTTTGTCTTCTCACTTTTCTCTACGCGTCACCTGCGTTCACTCCAGCTCCAGACACAGTTGCAATGGCAGTTGAATGCAGGTTGTCCTCGCCTGTGGGTTTATCTGCTCGGCCTGGAAGCAGGTGAAGGCACCTTGTGCACCTCGAGCTGATAATGAAGTGTACTCTGCACATGCAATTATCACAATTAGACTCATAACGTGCTTCCTTCGAAGTCTTGGGCCTCCTTAATCCAGCCGTCAAAAGGCTCTCTTAATTATCTAAATCAGGCAGGCTCCTCTGTGCTGGAGCACGGCTATCATGGTCAATTAACCGCAATTAGACAGAATGCTTTCACTCCTTCGCTTGTATCAAATCGACGTATATTGCAGGCGCTATATCTGGACACCTACGAGCTTTTCTTCAGTTCTAAAACAATCTTTTACTGTATTCCAGTTCGTAGAGTACAGTACGGTGAACAGCACATTGTCGATCAGTGGAAATGTATGTGTCTGATTACCTAATGAGATCTACGTTCTTCATCTCACTTCAAGAGATCGAAAAGACCGTTTGATGGAAATGCTGTTAAGGTAGTGAGGTAGATGCTGGTGTCTCCTTATGTCTAATGGAGAGCTCTGTCAGGGCTGATTGGCCACTGAAAACCCTTTCTAGCCTGGAGGCCTGTGTCTGGCCCCTGTGTGCGAAGGAGACCACAGTGCAGGTCTGACACCTAGTGGGCAATGTCATGCAGTTTCGTTGGGGCAGAAGATTGAGGACTCTGGAGCCTTTCTTATCACTTTATCAGAAGAAGTCCACATCGAGAAAGCTGACCTCAAGATGGAGCCAGTGGCTCAGCTAATGAATCAACACTTCTAGCATATTGTGCCTGTCCCCTGCCCCATTATGGCTGAATCCATGCACTGAAGTCTTAACAAAGCAATAATGAGGCAGTGGACAGGCATAATGTATATATCTGTGAAATGTATATGGTTATTATGCACATCAGATCGTATGCAAAAGTTTAAACACCCCAATCAAATTTCATGGTCTGTGATCGCCAGCAGCCCCGGTGGTCTACCTTCCTGCAGAGTCTAGTTCTAACTACAATCTGCCCACCTGAAGCTTATCAACTTCTTCAGGACTTATGTTCAAAATGAAAATAAGTTAACACATCTTCTACAAGAAACAAACTTAAAAATGTAGTACACAATTTATATTTATTTGCTGAGTTTAGCATTTTGGGAAAAAATATAAACCATATAAGCCATATTTTCTGTGTTGTTTATACCCAATATGTTAAATTCAGCAAGTAAGCATGTTCTCTGTAGAGGATGTATTCACTTATTTTCACTTAGTTCAAACTTTTGCGTACTGAAAGTGTATAAAGTGGAGCCATATAAATGTCACTGTAAAAGATGGTTTCAGTAAAACTGAGTAAAGTTGAATGAATGAATGAATGAATGAATAAATAAATAAATAAATAAATAAATAAATAGTTTATATGAGCAAAAGCAATACTTAATACTATTTTTTAATAATATCAATTAATATCAACTCTCAAATAAATACTTCAAATTAATGCATGTTCTGTTTTTTACAGTGTGGTGTATTTTCACTCTACAGTTATATATATTTAACCTTAGACGTATTGATTAATTTTTAAGCTTAAAGGGCCAGTGTCTTATTTTTTTTTTCTTTTTTTCTTTTTCGCTGAGGTCCACTTCTGGCATTTATGTGCCAAAAACAGTCACAAATCATTTCATATGACCTCTATATATCCATTAGAATGATATAGTTATATAGGCTGTTTTTGTTATTGCTTTTTTTAAAGACTGAAAAATGTAAATGACCTCTGTTCTGATTGGCTGCCATGTACTGCGCCTCATTCACAAAGCAGTCCAGACTGAAACACTCCTTATAACTTCAGTGTTAAACTGTTATAGGCTGAATAGACGGTTAAATAGTCATTAATGCATTTCTCTGCACTTACTAATGCAGTTCTTTAGTTAATAAGGTGTGTATAACAGTGTGGGAAGTTTAGCCTCTTGAACTGAAGTGTCGTTATATGGATCCATGCTTCAGTTCTTCACTATCGTAAATATAACTTACACATTAGCTTCATAGCAGTTTAATTAATAGTAGATAATAAGTCCCAAAGGGCCCATATCATGAAAAAGTACATTTTCGTCGCTTTCCTGAAAGTGTAATGTAGTCCGTAAACATATAAACATATAAAAGTTTCAAAAGAGCCTGTTCACTCCTCAGTCGATACAGTCCATAAAGCTGGAAAAACAGGCAGGTGTGAATTCACTGTTTCCGTGGCGTCATGAAAAACATTTAATATATTGCAGATATCAGCTTTTATTACATCCATTGTAAATGCAATTTTTTGTTGTTATTATTTTTTTTATCTTAATATTCACTACTTTTCGTCTTTATTGTCTTCATGGTGCTGACCCCATAGACTACGTTTACAGCCTCTTCGCTCCTGTTTGATCATTTTGTGGTATTTCTATTCACAATATGACAAACTAGCATGTCTGATGAATGGGCTGAGTATTTCTGCCCAGCTTTGGCTCGTTCTGATTTCTACAGCATGTGCGATTCTTTTTTGTGTGTGTGTGCTTTTTTATACTTTGTTTATCAATTAACAATACATTAAAAAAGAATGTGAGTAAAAGTCAGAGGCAGGACTCTCTCTCCCCCTGTAAAACAGCAGAGATCTCTGAAAGCCTGTCTTTGTAGCTCTCAAAGCCCACCAAGTTTTAAACGCCATTGTCTCGTTAAACCCCATAAATTTGTCAGCAGGGACTGATTAAACATCACGAGAATTGAAACACTGAGGATTTTGTCTAGGTCTTTTTAGAGCGCGCACAATGGTCCTTTCACATGGAGACGCAGACAAAAAAGTGGAGAAGATGAGCTGCGGCGCTTCAGAGCGCTCCAGTCAGCAGCGCTCCGGCCTCCATATGCGGGGCAAGGTGGTCCGAGACTGGACAAAAGGCCAGGTGACGGACGATGCGCGACTGCCCTCACAATTAATGAAGAAGAAGAGCTCTCTGGGGCTGAAACAGCGCCTGACAGAGACAAAGACACCGCAGTCCAGATTTATTTTATTTGACCATTTCATGTAGATCTGCATTTTGCTTTGTTTTTACTTTGCCTATCTATCTATCTATCTATCTATCTATCTATCTATCTATCTATCTATCTATCTATTTTTGCTTGCCTTTTTTTAAAGTAAGGCTTTAAGGCTACTATGTTTGTGTGCTTATACGTCAAATTAAAAAGACACTACAGAAGCTGCTATCTGTAAAAGTGTTGAGGTTCAGCTGCTCAGACAAAGATCTTGATCTGTGCCCAGGCCTAATCCCCCTCTGTTTACCTTCTATTCTTATGCTGAGTCCTCAGATAAGTTTTCAGCTTCTAGATTGTTATTTGCTCCTCTCTGTTGGGTGGAAGTGAAAGTCTTAACATTAGAAAAGCGTCTCATGTCTTGCTGAGCGCTGTGCTTTTATTCAGCACCATCACATCTTTCATATTACATAACAATGACACAGATTGGTTTTAACTTTATTATGAGATATTGTATCACGTGAGTTGGACGACTCTCCTCAAACGACAGGATTTTACCGTTTAAATCTTCTCATTATAATCATCACTGCTTCCAAAGTGGGGATTTTTCATTATTGATTTTTGAATATTCAGTTTAAGAGTTCACATAACAACAGATACAGGTATTATTAAGAAAGTTTATTTTATGTACAATGAAGAGAATAAAGGGATGTGAGCTTACAGAAGCTCTAACACTGATCTGATGACACCTGTCTTCTGTAAAAAATACAGTTGTTTGCTCAACGCAATATTTCGTTTAATCTATATGAAAACTTAAAAGCCTCTTTCTTCTCAACTACTATGTAAACATTTGGCTTAAAACAAAAATAACAGGTCAAACGATTTAAACGTTAACCGTATTCCCAATACTGCAGGCCTACTGCGCCACAATCGCTGCCAAACACACCAGAAAAGAAAATACTCTAATTTCTAAATATAAAATATAATATGTGCAAATTGCATGTCCTCAGTCGCTATGTAAAGAAGAGTTTTTAAATAGTCCAAAGCAGGCTCTGGAAAGCGCGTCTTGCATGTTGGATCCGTGCGTAATCCCCCGCAGGTCCCCGCCGTGCGGCCTCACCAGATGAAGTGGGGTCTGGGTTCGTGTGTAAAGTGCTGGTACTGGGGCAGAAGGGCAAACGGTGGGATGTGCTGGAAGCTCTGGAAGCCCTGGAGGCCGTAAGGCGGCACCACGCAGCCTCCTTTCTCTGCATCCGCGACGCACGTGTGAAAAGGCTTCCCATCCCGAACTAGAACCGGCACCAGGACCCTGCGCAGCGCCGGGGGCTGAGCGGCCTCCTGTGCCCCGCGCTCCGCACGCGCTCTCTTCATCTTGTACCTGTGGTTCTGGAACCAGATCTTGACCTGCGTGGGCGTGAGGCGCAGCACGCGCGCCAGGTGCTCCCGTTCGGGCGCAGACAGGTAGCGCTGCTGGCGGAAGCGCCGCTCCAGCTCGTAAGTCTGCGCCTTGGAGAAGAGCACGCGCCGCTTCTTCTTCTTCTGATTCTGATCTTCTTCCGTTGCCCCCTCGCTGGGGCCGGTGGAGTCGGGGGTCGTCTCCGAGTTACTCTCATCTGAGGCTGGAGAAAGGGAAACCGGTTAATATGCTTTTTCGGAGCACGAGCGTAGTTTATTTTTTAACATGAGAACTGAGGACAAACATTGGAGCACATGCATTCAATTACACACGACACAAATAGTGTATTTTAGCAGCAAAAATCTACAAGAGGAAACAAAACGAATACTTGACATTTATCAACTAAGTTTCTGAGAGTGAGTTTGGTTTTACTGCTATATCTTACTCGAAGAGTAAGGCCGTAATCCAATGAAGGCCATAATCATATGAAGGCCTCGGCAGAAAAAAAGCTACAAGATAAAACAAAAAGTTTTTTTTTTGAGAACTAACTAAATAAATAAATAAACGAATGAATGAATCAGTTATAGTCCTATATGCAGAAGGATGAACACTCCTGGTCAATGTGCAGGGTTTGTCGATTTTCTAAGTGAACAAATCCATCCTTTTTCTGTTAATTGTAGTGCATGATTTCTATTTATTTGCTGAGTTTAACCTTTTGGGAAAAAAAAAACATAAAATCGTTAAATGTGCCATAACTTTAACAGTAATTGTGCATTAAAATGTGCAGCAGAGTGTTCTCTGTAGAGGGTGTGTTAATATAGTATCACTTAGAAAATAAACAAAACATGTAATTTAACTAGAGGTGCCCAAACGTTTGCATAGAGCTGTTGTTTAGCCAGTGGAGGTCTATTACATTAACGATTACATTTTGCACAAAAAATCTACAAGATAAAACGAACGACGTTTTTCAGAGTGAGTTTGGTTTCCCAATGACTGGGAATTTAGCTGTAAACTTCAAAAGTGGACTAAATGCAGGCCTTTTTTCCACGTGCATAATCAACTCGAGTATCCTAATGAAACAGATACATCCTTTTCCTCTTTGCAGACTCCCTAAGCAGGTGAGCAGTGTGTGGTGAGGACTTACACACGCAGTGGCCCCTGTCGCTGTCCGACCACGACGAGCACGGAGATCCGGAGGGCGCGTGAAGCGGCGGAAGGCGCGCCGCGCTCTCACCCTCATTTTCTGGTAAATCCAAAATCCTCCTCACGGTGAAGCTGAACTTGGTGGGCACAGCCATTAGGTGGGTTTGTTTGACTTTGCTCTAATTCCAGATGATGCTCAGTCCTGAAGAGCTTTATCCGAGGAGGAGCAGTGAGTGGAGTGGCGAGGCTCGATCAGTGACAGTGTGTGTACACTGATGCGCCGCTGTTTATATAAACAGCACTTAGAGCTGCTAAACAGTGGCCTCTCCTCCCGGTCCTTCCTAAGTACCTCTGTGACTCGAGTGCTTAAGTCCCAGTCAGGGGTAGGTGTGAACTCGCCGAAGAATGGTCCAGCTACGTCCACAATGACTGAAGGAAACACTCTTCATCATTACCGATTCGTCCGAATTCGTGAAAAGCGGGCAAACAGATAATGGTAATTGTTGAGGATGAATCACGTCTTGGGTGGCAAGTGACAACAAGAGACCTCGCCCCCTCCCATCCCCTCCCCTCCACTCCCTCCCCCGCCCAAATAACATATTGGATATTTGCATACAAAGTGATCCATTAGTGTCCTCGAGTTGGTTTTTCTTACTCGTTTATTGGGGCTGTTGGTACATGTTGATGGGGTTAGTGTCAAATACACCAGAAACGGCACGTTAGCGCAGGTGTGAATGAGTTTTGAGACTGAAACTGATACTCAAGACTTTGTTCAAAGGAGGTTTTAATAAGAAAGCTTAGTGTCCAAAGCGTGAAAACCATCATCACTTCATTAGAATGATCAGTGGTCGTAGATCAGAGCAGATATTCACTACATGGATGTTCAAAGCCAGTCTAATTTCCTCATATTCAAACCAAAACCATGACCATCCAGTCACCTTCTAGAGCATTTAAGAGGTCTGTATCTCCACAGCTTACTGCACCTGTCACTGCGAGATGGCTTGAACCCACAATCCATCCAGTGCTGGATGCTTTGAGGAGGAGTTCAGAAGAAGATCATGAGTAAACAGTGCAGTTTGGTTTATTTCTGGACTCACATGCTCACATGCTAAGCAGAGAAGAGGGTCTGCTTCTAGCCGCCTCGCGACACGCCCTTCATCGGCCAGCGCGCGCGCCTCGGCCTGCGGCCTTCCCTGCCTGGGATCGCGCGCCGGGACTCTCCCAGCCCGGCGGCCAGCCCTTCTCTTTCTGGACGTCCTGGGTGGTCGGACGAAGAAAAAAAGGGAACACAAATACATGCCAAGCAGCGAGCGGGAACAAAAGAGGGAAATGTAGCCCCGCGTCCGAGACCCGTTGGAAGCATTTGTTCCAGTCAAGATTTTGCATTTGTTCAGTGACGAAAATAATGCTTGATTGACGCCCGCGCACAATGTCCTTTAACTTTCTCGGATAAATCCGTGCTTGTTCCTTGTTGTCATGGTTTTGAATGGGGCCGAATGGGATCTGGGCCACTATGTACTGCTCCGCGTCCACTGGCCAGCCAAGTCTATACTGAATTATTAGTTCTGCGCTTCCAAACACAATCAAAAGGCTTTTCGTTCTGATTCGCCTTTAATTTGAGATAAATTAAAACAATCAGGAGCTCATTATTAGGCAGTACTTCATAGCAGTTTCACAGGTTGCGAAAGAGAATGAAGAACAGCCATAAAACAGAAAGAAGGGATCTTCATTTTAGTTTCCAATAAATAAGTAAAGGCCTCTGGTGCGTGCGGGTCTACCTGCTGTCCGCAGTGGTTCATTTTGCAAATATAATGCCGCGCGCTTGACCGCGAGCTCTTCAGAGAGCAGCGATGAATAGATTACAGTAGAGCTTTATGCAGCGCGTGTCAAAAAGTTTGCCAAGCTCTCTGCATAAGAGCAAACTCTCAGGGACCAAATGAAGGCTCTTGTGCACGCAGAAGTTTGTTTCTACACGACCTCTTGTATCCCCTTTAATCTATTACACACCCACGGCTAGAAGGAGAGCTTACACACTCTTCTCTCCACAGCCAAATATTTACCCTCGTTGTTAGACTCTCTAGACTCAAATAAGATGAAGATCTTGGAAAGAAAACACTGCGCTGCTCAGCAGGATGGAGCCAACGCAAACCACGGACAATCCGTCAAACAGCAGAGGTGAAATGCAAGACAGATCTTACCAAATTCAGTTTAACTACGACTAATGATGCACTTCTGAGAATAGCAGACACTCTTCATGGGTTGTAAAATTATCCAGAAGTTTAATAAAGGCTTGTAAATATGTAGGCCTAGTTAAGGATCTTGATTCGAGCTTTACGTTTTTTTTTGTTTGTGTGTTTTTTTGCTTAAGTCTTTCTCCGAAATAGTAAAACGGCTATTTATTTATTTATTTATTTATTTCAGCTGAAATACACAGTAAAAGTCCTGCGTTTTAATTTAGAATTTTAAAATTTTTATATTATTATTATTATTATTACAGTAGTTGTGTTTTTTTAATAAAGTAGATCTGTCAGAACACTTTGACGTTCCCTTTCACGAATCTCAGAAGACCCCCAACTCATGCCCCCCACCCCACCACCAACACACGCACAATCAATAGAAAGACATTACAGTACACTTAATTCTGCAGTCACTGGTTTCAAGAAAATACAGTTCTTGGTTTTAAGAAAATTCAGCAATGATCAGACAATAAAAACAGGAACACAAGAAAAGTCAAGATCTTATGAATTCTAATCACCTCTTTCTTAAACACTTTCAAAGTGGCCTTTATAAAATCTACATCGGTGATATCGACTTGTTACTGTCAGCTAAGACATTTTAGTGTATTTCAGTGGCAGACAATGAAACAAGATCTGCGCAAAACTGACACACTGAATATGTATCAGAAATACGTTATTCATGTAAGTAATGATTGTTTTTGTTTCTTTTTCATATTAATTTACATGCCGTTAGATATATGACAGTATAGTATCTCTAGTTTTCCACCTAGTTTTCGTGTGATTTACTGTGCAGGCTTTGGCCTCCCGGCGTTCCTTCCCACTTTTCGGGCCAAATTTGCACCCCTGCTAATCACCAGTATAGATCTGCTTAAAAGACAGTTACTCTGGAACCTATAAACTGTCACCGAAACAGGAGCATTTAGAAGCAAACATCTACAAAAAGCAAGCAACGACTATTAGATATATTTGGTCCACACATATGTATTACACTGGTGGTCCTGTAGCATCGATCAGTGGTTCTCGGGTACTGAGGCTATATTACATTTGGAAATGAGTTTTGAAGCTGCATCCAGGGGTCTGGCCTTCAATGCCTGTACCACACATCTCATAGCCTCATTTTGATGGATTTGCACTTTCCTAAGTATTTTCTAATCAAATGCATTCATGCTCAAGTAGATTTGTGAAAAGATACTTTTGCTAGAATTTCAGTCAGTAACAGTTACTAATTCCTTTGTATTAAATTCGTCATAGCGGTAACGGCAACTGGACTGCTTTTTGACCGCATCTCTGACTGTTAGTCATTTTAAAACAAACAGCTCCCAAAAAGAGCAGAACAGCGCTGGATGTATTAAGAAGTTCTACAGTTCTGTAAATTCCTCAGTGCTTAACCTGCTATTTCTGCACTTCTGTGTAAACTGGTTTTCTGGAAATGAACTCTTTTTTAACTTTTACTGCAATCTTTAGTTCACAGTAACATTATTTTCACTTGAGTCAGGGTAAATTCTTCTCTACTCGCCTCAGTTTGAAGATCTGTGAATCTGCCCAGATTAGAGTGAGTAGGGAGCTCAATTATCAATCACCAGACCTGTGATACAGCACCGCCCCCTGTTGGACATTTGAGGTAACTTACAAACCTACAAACACAGCTACAGACGGTAATCTGAGCCAAGTTAATGGATGGTTCTAAGAATAATATTTAGGTTGTAAACATTTTGCGGAGGTTCTTTAGACTTTTTAAAAGGTTCTTCAAACATGCACATCTCATTTACAGAATGGGTCTTTAAAGAGTAATTCTTTAGAAAACAAAAAGTGCTATCACCCCAAATAACTCTGTTTACACTTTTAAAAACGATGGTTCTGTAAGGGTCTTTAGTAAAGAGAATTGTTTTATATAGAATCAAGAGTTCTATATAGACCCATTTCATACTTAAATTGTTCTTCTGATTAATGGAGAATGTGTTATGTTACATGTGGTTCTATACAGAACCTTTTTGAAAATGGTTCTGTATAGCACCAAGAAGGGTTCTGCTATCGTTATGATGTCAAGCTTGTAACAATGGAAGAACCATTCTTGCTTCAATATAAAACCATATACTACCCATTCTCCACCAATCTGAAGAACCATTTCATCATACAAAGAACCATTTAAGCATGAAATGGTTCCATATAGAACTCAAGGTTCTAAATAGAACATTTCCTTTACTAAAGAATCCTCAAAGAACCATCTTTTTTAAGAGTGTAAACAGAGTTATTTGTGAGGCTATTCCCCTCTGCTATTTTATAGCAGTGGTGGAGAACTAAACAAAGTTTTAGAGATTTCCCTGTTCTAGCACACCAACTCAACCTAGGCTACTTTCAAAGCCATTTACTACCATAATACATAGTATGTTTAGAGAGCACACCACCAATTTAAAAGCAACCAAGGTAATTAGTTGAGGAGTTGAATTAGGTGTGCTTGAGTAGGAAAATCACCAAACTGCAGGAATCCGGCCCTCCAGAGCTAGAGTTCCCCACCCCTGTTTCACTCTGTTAGATAGGGTTCTGAAGAAAAAAGAAAACAAAAATAATACAGCAGTCACAGGATGAGTTCTACTAGAATCAGACACCTTCTCACTAATGCTAATTTGAGTATTACATGCTCAGATACTCAGCTGAGCTACTGAGATGTGGTTCAGTGAAGCAAAGAGATCAACCCATAAAGGGTCTGTTTAACTGCTGGACAAACAACCGAATCCTGTTCTTGAGTGAAAATGCAAAAAAAGTATTTGTTTTTCAATTAACTTGCATACCAAAAGCACTGTGATTTAGCATGGATGTATTTTTGTTATATTATTTATGTAATTGTGTACAGCACTGTGTAAAATTCCCACCCTGCATGTCTTTAATTGTATGTCAAAATGGCCATTATGTATAAGCTG